TGTAAAGGAAGTCATTTATTATAAATAAACAAGTAAAGAAAGTTAAATTTATTATATTATTTAAAAATACAACTTCATATATTGTTTTGATCAATCTATATCTCTAAGAGTAGAATTTAATTTGATTAGGGTTATAGTAAATGAAGGCGGTTAAAGCATTTCAAGTTGTAAGAAAATTATAAATAGGCAGAGTTGTTAAAAGATCGAATCAAAAGATCGACGATCTTGGATTCGATCGCAAATTTGTCAATTTTGCGAGATTTATGATTCTGACTTAAATTGAGGATCGAGATCATTTTGTTTAAAATTCGATCCCGATCTTTTTAAAAATTAATTTTTTACTTAAAAAGCAATAAATAAAATAAAAATTTTGAAAATTAAATTAAAATTTTATTTAAAAAAAAAATATCTATTTTCATATTTTATCAACTTCCATTATCAACTTACATTCCACCATTTATTTTGTAGATATATTTATTCATTTCCTAAATTTTATGAGATTTAGAGCTCTTACAAGTTATTTAATATAAATTTATAATAATATATTAATATTTATTTTAATAGGTAAATGTAAATGTCCTAGAAGATTCTATTGCTTCTACTATTGTGATGTAACAGCAGATATAAGTGAGAATGAGAATTTTTACCATTTTTGAAATTACGTAAGTATTTTACTTTATGTGAAATGAATGAAAGCAACTCTTATAATATGATCAGCACCAAATGCTGTCTCTGTAAGAAGATAATATCATCTTCCAAAATACCATCCTCGAACTTAAAGAGACATTTACAAGTAATTCTTTTAATTTTTTTTTATTTGATAATCTTAATGTCAACATGTTTAAATTTAATTTATTACATTCCTGAGTTGAGCAGGTCCTACAGAAATAGAATCTAGAAACAGATTCTTTATAAAAAAATGAATTATTAGATACAGTATAATTAATAAAATATTTGATGAAGAGTTAATCTTGGTTTTGTTATTTATATATAATAATTAGGCATTTATTTTTTAATATTACTATTATATTAGTTTAATTTTCAAAAGAAGAGTATTTATAATAAATAGAAGTGTAATAACTAATAATTAAGCCTTTATAATGTATTTTGACGACTTTCTTTAATATAATTAAAACATCCAGTTCAATGTTATTTGAATTGAACCTAGCAATGTTTCACCAAAAGAAAAATAAATAATATTTTCTATTATTTTTTTATTATAATATGTTAAATCTAATCAATTAGTATTATAGTTTCAGTTTGAGCTTGATTATATAATCCTCTTGACAACATTTTTAGGGCTTTTTTAATGATATATTTTGAATTGAAAGTATTTTTTGTATTATTTGACTCAAACCATAAGTTCTTAAATGCCAAAAAGCCTCATTATATTCATAATAGGTAAATACTTTATCAAAATCTTTGGCCCATATCATCTTTGGCAACTTTTAATAATGATAGACAATATTGTAAACTTAAATTTTTAAGATAACCTACCCCCTTTTAACCACTAATAAAACATACTTTAATATGTTTAACAAAATTTACCCTTAATCCATAGTTCTTAAATGCCAAAAAGGTTAATTATATTCAAATATAGGAAATTTTATCAAAATATATCTTTAGCCCATATCATCTTGGGCAACTTTTAATAATGATAGACAAAGACAATATTGTAAACTTAAAATTTAAAATAACCTATATGAACCTTTTTTAATCATATATAAATTAAATAATATACTTTAATATGTTTAACAAAATTTGTGTTGAACCCTTTATCATTTTTTTGTTTATATAGGTTTTACATTCAGCCTGTACATTGTTTTTTTTAACTTTAAATTTCCATATAAAATTTTAAAAATGAAATTTGATTCAGGAGAAGTTATTTTCATCCAACTTTGATACATACTCTTTTTTTCTTTTATAAAGAAAAAGAAAGCACAGTGAATTTAAAAATGAGATTACCAAACACCTCAACGAATTCTCTACACAAAAAAATATATCACTGCAAAACCAAAGTGGTTCTGGTTGCAAATCCAGACAATCTAAATTAAATTTTAACAATCTAAACATTCCAGCTGTATCGCAAAAAACAGCAGACAAGGTTATCATGGATTTTAATATTGATTGACACCTTCCAACCACTGTCTCTGGTTTATGATCCTTCATTTGAAAAAATGATTAAAACTTTTTCTCCTGCGACAAAAATTATTTGTTGCCAAGCACTGGGTAACAGGATATCTACTTCCTTCTCTTATATGACGACAAATCTTATAAGATATTTGTCTGAAGTTTCTTATGTATGCACCACTGCTGATTGTTGGAGTGGTCATCGAAGGTATATTATATTTATATAATTTTTTTAATGTTTATTTTATTAGGGCTTTTATTGGAATTACTGCACATTGGCTGGATCCGTTAACCCTCAAGAGAAGGTCAGCCGCTTTGGCACTGAGGAGAATAATTGGGAGGCAAACATATGATGTTTTGGCCAACGAAATCATGAAGATGGTGACTGACAATGGAACCAACTTTGTCAAGGCATTTAAGTAATATTTATATTTAGCAAAAAATAATTAAATAAATTTATTTTTTCTAGAGTTTTTGGAGAAAATGAAGAAGATAGTAGTGTGAGGATAGATAAATTTGGATGACATATTATCCGTTGATGACCCAATTATTCCTACTATCAGCCTACCAAAACATCAACGTTGTTATTGCCATAATCTTAACCTATTTGCAACAACAGATGCGGAGATGGCAAATAGTGATCTCAATTATAAACGAATATCTAGATCCTCTTTTGCAAAATGTTTTGCTTTAGTTATTAAACAAAATATGTCGTCAAAAATGGCGGATATTTTATTGGAGAAATTGGGAAGATATTTAATAGCTCCCAACAAGACAAGATGGAATTCTTATTACCAATCCATGAAATTAATAGATAAGATGCTTTCTGAAAAGTTTTCAGAAGTAGAACAAGTATGTGATCAAATTGGATTTGCAATGTTTAGGCAAAAGAATGTTTTTTTGTTAATGAGTATGCAACAGTAATACAATGGTATTCTCTAAATATATTTAAATTTTATAGGTTATGGAACCTTTGGCGATCTCGTTAAAAATATTGGAACCAGCAGTGGATAATATGTGGCAGGGATATCTAACTCCCGTTCTATCGATATTGATAGATAATTTAACGAAATTTAACTGTCTGCGGTATTGTCAGCCCCTTGTAGATAGTGTTCTTAGAGGTATTGATAATAGGTAATATTTTTTTATGCAATTATTTTATTTTATCAGATATCTGCAAAATATATTAAAAAATTGCAAAGATTTGGCAAATTTAGAATATTTTTAACAGGCCAGTTCTACTAAACCTCTGATATCTAGTAAAATATTAATGGGCCTTTGAAGACATTAAAAAATTATTTGATTATTTGAATTTTAAGCTAATATTTTGATTAATATTCTTTGTAAATAAATTATAATATTAATTTCTTTGTATATTAAGTATTAAGTTTACATTTAATCAATATTTATGATATTACCCAAATATAAATAAATACCATACAGATGATGTGCCAGACTTGACTGAAAAATTTAAAAGGGTTAAGTTTTGCAGATACTTGATTTGATTTTTTATATTAATAAAATGAACACTTATTTAATAATAAATTAATTATCATTTCATAATATAGATTTCCTTCACTGTATGAAGACAGTAACATTTTGGCAGCCATGATTCACCCTAAATTTAAACTTAATTGACCTTATATTAATCTGCCACAAAATATGATGGTAAAAGAAAGATTAGTTGCCCATTTGGAAAATATGCAGGAACAAGAACAACCATATGCGGATACCTCAAATGAATGTATGGATGACATTGATGCTTTTTTTGGGAAAAATACTGTACAAAATGCTTGTTCCGTTAAAAAATTTTTTTATTCAAATGATGATTCCATGAATATTTTTAATACTTATATTAATTAAAAAAAAATATTTATTGAATATAATACACCTTTGCCATCAAGCTCTCCTGTGGAGCCCTTGTTTAGTAAAGCTAAACATGTTCTAAATGAAAGACGCGGATGTTTAAATGATGATAATTTAGAAAATATTTTAATATTAAAAGCTAATTTTAAAATTATAAATAAATATATTATAATTGTTATATTTATTATTCAATTACAATAAATTTCTACCATATTTAATTTATTTTTATATTAGTTAATTTTGCATCGGTTATATTATTATTCAATTACAATAAATTTATTTGCATCGGTATTTAATTACAATAAATTTATAACATATATTTGTTAATTTTGCATCGGAAATTTCCTTCAGAAATTTAAATAGAAAAAAAGATCGTGATCGTGATCGCGATCGCTATCTTTTTTTTTAAAAAAGGTCGATCCTGGATTTCGATCCTCTTTTTTTTGAAAAGATCGTGATCGGGATTCGATCGTTTTAAAAAGATCGGTTAACAAGCCTGTAAATAGGTTAACCATAACACTATGATATCAAGGTACAAATAGGTTAAATAGGTATATTTAACTAAATAATTATAAAAACCAAAATATAATTTTTATATCTTCTAACTAATTAATTGGAAACAAATCATAAATTAACTAAATGAAATAAAATAAATCCTACTAAATAAGATTCTTGCTCAAGGATCAACAATAAAAAATAATTTTTATAATAATAAAAAAAACTAATAATTTGTATTGGATGCATTGATTGAATGATACAGTACCTCTTTTTTTCAGTTCTCGCTTTCTCAAAAATACTCATAACTATTCCTTATGCTAATATTATTATTGGATTGGGTGAGTTCCACACCTTTAATAATTATATCTGGGTTACAAGGATTGTTGGTATCCTTGAGGAAAATAATCAGCATAATTATTATGTAGGATAGGAATAGGGCCTCTATAGTAATTCACGTTCATTTTAGGCAGGTCCATGACCAACGTGCTAGATAAGATAAGATAAGATAAGTAAAAAAAGTAAAGTAAAATGCTGATTATATTTGTAACAATTCTTTTTGGATTTATAATAATTTTATATGTTTTATCACCTTTAATTTCTCCAAGAACATTAAAACTAAATGGATTACATGTTTTGGTAAATAAAATATTATTTAAATAAGTACACAATGTCCTGCAATAGATTACAGGAGGATCTAGTGGTATCGGTAAATATATGGCTATTGAAGCTATCAAACAAGGAGCAAATGTAACAATTTTATCTAGAAACCAAGTATAATTAATTCTATAATAAAAGCTCTCAGCTAAAAATGTATAATATCATTAATTTTATTGCTTTATTAATTAGATTAATCCAATAAAAAATTACGTAAATTCTTTACCTTTCTTACTAATGGCGAAAATAAAAAAATCAATAAATACTCAATATTAAATAAATTTTTTTCAACCCATAGTCATCTCAACTAATGGTAATTTCTCCCAATCAACATATTCATTTTTAAAAATTTTAGCACGTAAAATTTTTAACATAACAAACGAAAAACGCAAGTCAATCTTCCTAAAACAAAAATACAATTAGAAATTTTTAAACATAATTATACATGTTTTTTAGGTACATTTTTACTATAAGCTCTTTTTATAGCCATCAATATTTTTAAAATTTACACTCTTTTTTATATTTTATATGGAAATTTTATATTTTTATTATATTATGAAATGAAATAATCATATTAAAATTATTGAATTTTTTTTTATTTTTCTATTTTATTATATATATGACTTATTTCACAGAATAAGCTTTATCAAGCCAAGACTGATGTTGAAAGATATATTTTGGACCCAAATAAACAAGTATACATTTTATTAGAAATAATATTATTTAAAAAGTTTATAATAGTGGATTTATCTTTTAAGATAAATTTAAAAAATAACATAATTATATTAATGATTAATGCAAAAAAAAATGATATTACCCTTTAGAAAATTTTAGATCAACCATTTTTCCAAATATTTTATTATAATAATGCTATGGTCCATTTAAATTTGATTATATATAATAAAAATGGTTTAAATTAAATAGTTATTACTAAAAATGGTCAGGGTGTTAATTTAGGCTTATACAGATTCACCAGCTGCCCATAATAGCTTTCTTCCATAGTTATAGAGTCTGGGAATAAAGTTTATTCTTATGGTCATCTGCTAACATTACCAGCAATACCCATATTTTGAATGGATTTTAGGTTAAGCTTTCTACCATATTTATCTATCAAATAATAAAAATCATTTCAATCAACTAATCACAACTATCATCTTTATCAATTACTTAACTTTACCTTGTTTATGACTTATTTCTCTTTTTTATATAGAGATATAATAGGAAACTTTAATTGTATAAAACAATTTACAAAATATTGATCACCTCTATTACTGTGCTAATTTTAAATATCTGATCAGATCATGGCCAATTTTTACGTTTAAAAAAAAAGACAGATTTAGTCGATTTTTTTTTGATTATTTTATGATTGTCTTGTCTGAGAATTAGAATATTATATCTCCTCTCCTCTATTAAATTTCTACTGATTTCAATGGGATGGTTAACCTAGTATCGGATTTAATTTGAGATATTTTATAAATATTTTGGGATGGATTTATAAAAAAATTTGATTTATGTAAAAAAAATTGTTTTGACAAAAAGTGGATATATAGAATAACCTAAATTCTCATGCGACTATATATATATATATTTTAAGTAATTTTCTAATAATATATGAATGGAAGAAACCCAAATTTTAATTTATTTGTATGGTAGCTAAAAATGTGAAATTTATCTATATTTTTGTTACATTATTAGTAACAAGAATATGATTTTAAAAAATTTGATGAGCCACAGAATCAGTCATTACCCTTATTTTAAATGATATGGATGACCTTTGGGGAATAATAAAAACTAAATACACACCTATTCATGGTAATGCACCAAATATCATCATTATTTAAAAGAAACGTTTTTTTAATACAATAATTCAAAGATAGGTGGTATAAAAAATCAATGCAATAATCAAATGAATCGATCAGTATTGCCATCGATTTTCTGATCTGTTTTATCTGAATATTATAAAATATCGATGATATCAGATCGGTGAAAAATTTATGGATCGATGGTGCCCTAATTGTCACTTATAGTGGCAATCTCTATTTATTTACAAACGTAATATTCTTTATCCTATTCAAATACTGCATATATATTTTGGGAGTGATTATCAAAATGATTTATAGGTCTTTGGACAAGTTATAAATGAAACCATTTATAATTTCAAAGAAAATAGCTTGCGTTGCCATAGACGTTTCGAAGGATTACAATAGTCTCAAAAACGCTATTTCACGGGCAGAAATTTTGATGCAGCGCTACGTTGACGTTTTAGTTAATTGTGCCGGATACGCCTCCCTCGACCTGTTTGACCACCAATCTATCACCGAATTCAAAGTTATTTCTCTTTTCTTTTTTTTTTGTAAATTAGAAATATATTTTCATAATATGATGAATTGTTGTTAAAGAAATGTAAAATTAAATGATTATAAGCTGTTAAGAGCCGAGTTTTGAACCATTTCTCAGGGCTGTGCCGATGTTTTTATCGATATTTTAATGACCCATTTATAAATATATATCTCGGATTTGGCACGAGATATGTAAATTTTTAAGTGTATAACCATCTTTAAATGTTAATACAACTTTTTAAAATAGTTGCCAAGCAAAAAAAAATTTTCGAAGGAGGTATGTATATGTATAACGGAAAATAAAATGAGCCTGTGTTTTGAACAAATTTTTACTAGACAGTTTCTAACGCTTCCTTTTTAAAATGTTATAATATTCCAAGATATGATTACGCATAAAACGAATAGCCGCCAATTCTGAGGAATGCACATTTTACATTTATAACCAGGTTCTTTTTCATATCGGCTTCGGCATCGCCCTTTTACTCCCCCTTCCCTCCCTCCCAAAATAAATATTATAAATTTTTTGATTTGCCGGCATCGAATTTGTATCCACCAAGATGCGGTAAGATGCAGGATTCGTCAGTAAAATCTCAAAGGGGGGGGGGGTAAAACGTACCCCATTCGTCCTAAGAGAGGTTCGGTTGAAAGGAGGAGGTAAATTTTGCACCCTTCAATGAGTGGAGAGAAGGGTTGTAGAAGCTGCTATGATTGAGCAGTCGGCTTAATCTACAAGCGCGTGCTATAAAAAGATTAGCCTTGCATTGAGACCCGAGTGTCTACCAGGTTGAGCTATCTTTTAAAACACTAAGCTGAAGTGTTAGTTTTTGACCTAAAACTCGAGTTCGCCCTATTTAGAACCAACTATTGATAAGCTTATGTGTGTAAATATATCAAATATTTTCTATTGTGCTTCATTATTTAAAAAAAAATTCAATATGTTCATTTACCGGAAATGGATTTGTTTTAAATTCAAAATAATTTAAAAAGGTTTATGATCAAATCTGAAATATATTTTTATCTATTTTCCTCATGATTAGGACACATTTTCTTTTCTAATTTAAAAACGCCGCTCTACAAAAGATTAAGTGCTATTTCTCAACGTTAAATAATTTATTTAACCTGTTTTATTTTAAAATTTGAAAAAATAAATCTCTATCTGAAATATATTCAACGGTAAAGTAAAATACCAACCCTATATATTTCGTACAATGATGTTGGCCTTAGCAAATACACGCATTGCCTTATTATATTACCCTTCATTCACAGTTATCGCAATTCATGTGAACTCTGAATGTTGGGTTGCACACATTTTCTGCTACTAACTCCACCTCATTATTTGACCACCCTTGATTTTTATCCTATATTACTTTTAAAATTCATAATTAAATAGAAACTTGTAGAAGCACCATTTGTACTGCCCTGCCCTGGTTTATTTTCTGGCATGGCCCTGGTTTTATATTTTTAGGTCTGGCCTGGGTATATTTAAAAAATTAAAATATGGCTTGACCCGTGTACCCGGGAGGGGCTTAGGACCGGGACTACAGGTCTCTAGTTAATAATTAATCTCTTACTTATTTATTTGTATAAATTATATGCAAAATACAAGTGTTTTCAAAATTTTTATCATTATCATAGATATCCACACTGCGCTAAGATTACCAAATGTTAATTTAATCTACCCTATATTTAAAAATTAATTATCGTCTGCTTAATTTTTTAAAAAAATAATAATTATTGTCTGCTTATTTTTTTTAGAAAAAATTATATCATAATTTAATCAATTTATGGCTTTTTAACCCTTCACTACAAAGGTGGGATAAATAATACCCCACGGCTTTTATAATCATGGTAATAAAAATCCTGAAGATAATTTGACCTAGTTTTTATAGTAGTTTAATATTTTGTATAAGGATTTGATATTTTTTAAAATATTTGCTATTTGTTGAGCTTGGGGTAGTATAGGTCCCACCTTTGTACTTACAAAATTTTTTTTCCCAAATTTTTTTTTATTAATTAATATTATTGTATATTACAAACTAATATATAAAATTGAAAAAAAAATTTTATTTTTAAATTTTTCATTGTTATATTGTGACCCAAAATTTTAAAATTTTATACTATTCTTTTTTCTTGTGGAGCTAAATACGATAAAATGAGCATATGGATAATTTAATATCATCAAGTTCTGGAAGTATTTTCTATTTAATATTTGATATTTATAACACTTTATATAGGTGAAGTAGATTATGAGTCAAGTGATGATTATTTATATGACAGCAATCACAACTCAGAAATAGAGGAAGATGATATAGATAGTGATGTGTGTGAAGATAATTATAAATATTGTTACAGTAAAATATGCTATCTTTTAATAAGTTATATAAAAAAATTGAAGGTAAAGATGGCAAAATCAAGTGGAATAAAGAATGCCTGCCTCAAATTCCATAATATAATTACTTGTTTGCCAGGGGTTAAATCACATGCAAAATCCCCTTCTTTCCCCCTAGAAAGCTTTAAACTTTTCATCTCAGCAATTATTACAGATTTAATGTTAAAATACACAAATCAAAAGATTGAGGCTCTTCAAAAAGATGACTCTATTTATCAAACTAAAATGGATGAAAATGAATTTAATACTCTGGTTGACTAATGAGAGTTGTTAAAGAATCTATACAAGTATCTAGATATAAAAATGTGGTATCTGTATTTAGATATTATTTTAGAGGTATCTGTATCTGTTTTTAGATACTTTATAAGATACATTTTTTCTATTTAACGCTTTTTTATATTATAAATAAAAATACTTGAATGTAAAATTTATTTTATTTCATATGAGCATATAACTTAATATTAATATATATATATTAAAAAATTATATATATATATATAAAATATTAAAACTTATATATAAAAAAGAATATATAAATATTAATTAAATATTATGTCCGAGTTATCAATAACAAGCAAATAATGATATTACAATCCATCTCAAGGAATTTGCCATTTTTAATTGCAATGGAATTGGTATTTTATTTTATTCTATTATATTAATTTTTAAAATTAATATTGATGAAGAAAATGACGACATTCTTCCATGGCCAATTTATAGACCATATTTTAAAATAATATCTAAAAATAAAGAAAACAAATCTCTGTTAGTACCAAAAAATATGCAAATTTTAGTTAGCATTACCTCAACTTGCAACATTCTAAAACATTTAAGGGTATAGATACTAAATAAATGTTTACAATTTTAATTTTAAATTTTAGAGAAAACATCAAACACTCTTAATCCAAATAAAAAATGGGAAGGAGAAAAAATCTATTAAAAAAAATATTGGACTAGGCTCATCGCCCATTGATTTTTTTTCCAAGAGACCTCAGTCTTTAACCCAAACCACTTTAGATGATTTAATAACTGATTTTATTATAGATAGCATTCAGCCATTTTCAATTGTTGAAAATCCTTCATTTATAAAAATGATCAAAACATTAGCTCCACAAAAAAAATAATTTGTCGACAGACAGTGGTTGTTACTGAAATCTAATAATTATTTATACTCATTTAATCATATATTATATTATTTTATTAATGATATATAATAATTATTATATTAATCATATTATATTAATATCTAAAAATCATTATTTTAGTTATTTTTTGATAAATGTGATATCGAGTCAATAATCTTTTAGATCATTTCATGAATTTTCACAATAGAATCCTAATTTAGGTTTACTCAAATTTAATCTAAGAGTATAATAAAAAATGTATCTGTACATAGATACATTTTAAATTGTATCTGTATCAAGATAACCTTTTAGAAGCTGTAATAGATAAATTTTTAGACGATGTATCTGTATCTAGTCCATTTAAAAGGTATCTTTTAACAACTCTGCTAATGATAGCTGGTGTTTATAAATCAAACCATCAAAATATAAGAGATTTATGGAATAAGGATGAATTTGGTGTAAATATATTTAGATATACCATGAATATAAATAGATTCCAATTTCTATTGAAAGTTCTAAGATCTGATGATATGAATACAAGGGATACGAGGAAAGCAAATGGTAAAGCAACACATATTAGAGAAATTTTTGATATTTTTAATGATAATTGCAATAATTCTTATTCTGTTGGATAATATGTTACTATTGATGAAATGCTTCCTGCATTTAAAGGCAAGTGTCCATTCAGGCAATATATGCTAAATAAACCATCAAAATATGGTCATAAAATCTATGCTCTAGTGGATTCTAGGACTTTTTTACATTAAAAACAGTATTATATGCTGATAATCAGCCAGAAGGACCTCACAAATTGTCAAATAAACCATTTGAAGTAGTTGAAAGATTAATTCAGCCAATTTCAAAAAGTAATAGAAATATTACAATGGACAATTGGTTTATTAGCTATGAATTAGCTAATTATTTATTATCTTCACATTCCCTAACAATAGTAGGGACTATAAAAAAAAATAAAAAACAGATACCTGCTGTATTTTTTGATAAAAAAAGTTATATACTCAAATTTATTTGTATTTAGAGAAAATACAACTCTAGTTTCATATATACCTAAAAGATTTAAAAATGTAGTGCTGCTCTCTACACTTCATTATGATAAAAAATCGAAGAAGATACATATGTCGATTATTTAAAAACAATTTATTAACCCTTCACTACAAAGGTGGAAAAAACTCCCTTAACTACCAAGGTGGGGTCTATTTTACCTCAAATTTTGATTAGCTATATCTCAGAACATATTAAAGTTTGAGATCTAAAATTTTGAATATATATTAAGAAATTATTGGAGATATTAAATAAAAAATCTTATTAATATGAAAGTTAATTAATATAAAATTAAATGATAGTTAATTAATATGAAAATTAAAATTAAATTGAAAATAAATTAATTAATAAGAAAGTTATTTAATATGAAAATTAAAATTAAATTGAAAATAAATTAAATTGCAAATCTCCTTACCT